CTGACAACCTTGAGGCGCCGAAAATCAGTTAGTGACCTTGAATTAAAACACTTTTTAAATATCTTATCGGATCCTCGAGACCTACAATATTATTAACTCTTGACCTTAAATGTCTCTCCTATTTTATGTACATTTCAAATATCCAATCTATCGTCTGCTCCGCTCCTTTGTCCCATGTAGTAGTAATGGACTAATGGCCACATTTATCAAATGTACATAGACTATCCTGATAGAGTATATTCTATTTATATGCTTCCTATTTAATAGACGTACTGTAAATTTGTAATATATAAACACACTATTGGATGTTATTTGTAATGTACTACGAAACTTGCCTATTGTTGAAATATAAACTTTTCAAACAATATATGTAAGTGTCTTATATTGTGAAAAGAAGAAAGGTTAAACACTTTATAAGACTAGAGAATTATTTCTCTTATTGCTATATGGTTTGGCCTTTGGGATAAAATCTCATTTGATCTTGTAAAGTGTACTATCTTTTAGTTGCGGTGCGGCCCAGACCACCTATGTATTATGTGATAAAATAAATAAATAAATTATTCCTTACTCTAAAATAAATAACCCTTATTTTAATACTTCTTCCGTTTCCTTTTAATTGACATGTTTTTTACTCACGTTTGTCAATGCACAATTTCAACGATTAATATATTTAATACCGATAAACAAATATTATAAAAAATTGATAATTTGAATATATATATCGTGACGAATCTAATAAGATTCCACATGACTATATTTTTCATTACGTATAAAGCAAAAAACATGATCAAAGGGGAGAGAGTGAATAGTGCTAGAGTCAAAATGTTTCAACTAAAAAAAAAAACGGAGGTAATATTATGCTAGCTCTCTTATATTATAGTTCATTTTATTTTTGTTAGTATACTGAAAATTGATGTTACACTAAAATGTAAAATGATGATTTAAGTACATTTGGATGTCCAATGAAAATGGTGTATTTACATAATACATCTAAAACAGACCTTTTTGGGTGTACAAACGAAATTATCATCATGCATGATTTTTGAAATGATTGTAGACCATAAATTCATCAAAATGTTTTGCATTTACTTGATCAATTTCGTTTAATTTAACCTTATTGCATTTAACTAAATTTATCTGATCTAGTATTTCATAAACTTATCCTATATAAATTTTCTTCCTATTTTAATTTTGACATATTAAGTCTGAGTATTGAGAGAACACAAACCTAATTGTACTCGTGTATTTTTCTGTGTAAAAAAAAATCTAAACTTATGTGTTTTTAAAAATAGGTGAATTAGAGGTTTAGAGAAGACTAGATAAGGTAAATAGTATGGTGCATGCATTCATGAGCACAACGGATTCATTAATAAAAAGCATGTGGAAGATTTATTATACTGTTAGTGAGATGAATGAGACTATCTTTTATCTTCCACTTTAATTTGTCTTTTCTTTGTTTGTTTGTCAATTGTCAGAAGGACTCATGCACGTTCCTGCATATTTCAGTTGATATCATCATATATACATGTTTGGGTTTGTAGCAACTACGAAAGACATCAATGTAACCTAAGCCATTCACCATCATCATTCATTCATTCATTCATTTCTTTCTGTTTTAGCCACACACTTGCCAATTTTACATTTTGATTGTGTACAATTTTATGCAAATTATAATTTGCAGAAAACAAACAAAATAGTGGAGTTCGATGGAATGTTGATATACCCAGATAACATTTGTTAATTGTTATAGTAATGATTATAAAGCATATGTTAATTCGAACTTTTTTTGTTTCTTTCATTCGTTGCAATTCTAATCTATTGCATTTCTTATTAAGAAAAGGCTAATTAAGCGAGCATTTTATTCTATTCAAAAATTAAAAAGTAAATCTTTAGTGCACTTAAAAAGATAAGTTTAAACTAATTATAGATAACAAGGGCTAATTGGATTTAATTAGATCAGATAAACTTATAACATAAAAATCAAGTCTAATTATATCTAAATAAGTTAAGTTGTAAAAAGAACCCACCATAATATAAAATATTCCATCAATTCGAATGTACTATTTGTACATCATTGATTCTAACTCTCCTTTTTTCATACAAAACAAAACTGTTTCACTAGCTCCACTACATATTGTCACAAGATCACATATTCTCTATAGAATCGACTTGTATCCATTAGACCATTAATTAATTAATACTAAACCTATAGTAAGTTAGCGACATATATTGCTATAGCTAGAGAATAACACCCACTATTGTCACTACAGTATAAATAAACAGTTTCATAATTCCTTTTCCTCGAGAACTCAACTATTCATTATTTTAACACTATAATTAAAAGATTAGTTACACTTTATATATTATTTAGATGGTTGTATCAAAGGTTTAATTTCTAATCTTGGTTAGAATAAATTATCTGCATGTTTTCTCACGACTCCTCCGGAATAGGGGGGATGATCTCGTAAGTAGATAAATCCAATTTATTCAATATTATTTCAAGTTCAATTTTAAAAGAAAAGGAGGACTTTTGATGTCAAGTTTTGACTAAGTGTACTATTAATTGAACGCAAACCCCACATCATGCAAAAACATGCAAATAACAAATGCATAGAATTTCAAATTTATGAAGCGCTAAACTAGGGATTTCAATATCTCATGATCCGAGCCATCTAGGGACACATAGTATGGAACAAAACATGGAGTATAACAAAGCGTGAGAAGAATCAAAGATCTCAACAACTAAATATCAAAGGAGAAGTTCAATTATTAATTTGATTGCTAAAATAATTTGATAGTAGCTTCATTAAAACAAGGATCCATATGACATAAAATTATTAATTGTATGTTAGGGTGTCGATCTATCCTACAATCAGTATGTAATTGAAACCTTATGTAGTCATTATAGCTCAATTATTCTTGAATACTTACGGGGTATAAGAATTGGTCTAATCGTATGCAGCCCCGCACAAGTTAGTGAGTAACACACTTAATTGAGGAAGGGTTAAATGATTTTCAATCTCAAAGTGGTCACCTGCAAGTTACTTTAATTTCAAATTTGGAAAGTGTAAATCTGCTCACAAGTGGTGTGCATTAATCAAGATGGCACGAAAGTCGATCAGGCATGACATGAATAAAATGGCCTAACTTGACACGAGCTCACCACACGCGAGGCACACTCAGGGGCGGACCCACCTTTAGTCATAGTGGGTCCGGTGACACAGTATTTTTTTATAAAAATAAAATATCAAAGAGACCCCTTATTATAGATAGGTGGTCTCTTTGATGCTGCTATTGGTAACAACAAACAATAACAAAGAGACCTCTTATTAAGATAGGCGATCTCTTTAATGCTGCTATTGCTACAAAAGACTTGCTGTGGTTTTTTTTAAATATTAAAGAGACCTGTTATTTATATAAGAGGTCTCTTTGATGCTGCTATTGCATTTCGCAATTTTTTTGCGCTACTTTTTTTTTCATTAAAGATACCAGTTATATTTAATAACTGGTCTCTTAAGTTATCTCACTGTTTTTTGTATAATTTTTTAATAATTTTTTTCCCTTTTTATATCTTATATTTGTACAACCAATTTTAATATTTCCCCATAAAGCTTATCAATTAACTAAAAAATCATAAAGTTAATTCAATATAATAATTTTATTGTACCATTTGTTTATAACATGTTATTTGTAGTATTTTCGACTTGTAAAATTGAATTCTTAAGTACTGTATTTGGTTGTGGTATGAATTTTTGTGTCCTATTTTTGGATTGAAATCAATTTGGTGAAATATATATATATATATATATATTTTGGATTGAAATTTAATTATGAACAAGACATGGAAAAAAAAAATTGTACTTTCACAAATGATCAATAATTGATTGTGACACACTATCTCGGAAATCCTGGATCCGCCACTGGGCACACTAGTAGGCTGATTCACGTGTCAGTTTGGTAGGTCGTGTCCCATGTATTAGTCCATTATAACTAGGGGGCTCAACACAATACAAAATGTGAGTTAGATTGTGCATGATCTTCATTTCAAGCGCGACACAACATAACTTTTCTTAACTTGTTTCAGACACAATAAGCTTAATTACAAAACACGCTGACAGAACACATCAGCATTCATTTGGACCTTTTTTGACATACTACAAAATACAAACTAATAAAGTTGTACATCACTATTCATGAGTACGTTCGTTGTACATGTATCCAAACACTAATGTCACAAGATTATCTTACAATTTACAGTACATTAACAGAGAGTATTCCACTTTCTCTCAGCATGAAATCATACATAATCCAGATCACATCGCTTTCAAGTTTCCCCTCGTGTGGGCCCACCCTTCTTCTTTTGCATAATCATCACTAACATGGTTTTTAATTGGACAGATTTCATATAATATGGCCCTACATTACTCCCACACGCCACGACCAAACTTGCACCTTTCAAATGGGACACTATCATCAAAGGTCCATTCCCAAGGTTAAATCATCCTAATTAATTAATAGTATAATCTTCTTCCTTACTTTTTCCCTATTATATCCATTAATTATTAATTTATTACCACCATTACTTAACTCTTTGTACTTTCACATTTGGTACTACTAAAAGTAATTCTACCTAGGACATTTCCCTCTTTTTTATAGATATACTTCTAGAAAAGTTATGGTTGATCTTAGAGATCAAGAGGATCTCTTCTTAATTACACTTTGTATAAGACTTTACCTTCCCTTCGAAAATAAAGTTTGGACAATGATAATATGATATGATATGTTGTCTCAGGCTCTCAGCAATAAGCGGACAAATTATCTGAGCCACTGTTTAGATTATGAGGTGCAAATAAAGTGCAAGTTTCACTTTGTAGATTACATTTTGCGTAATACTAATATTGTACTCGTTTACTTCACGCTAAATTCCAAAGACGAAAATTTAAAATCAAGGGTAAATGTAGGAGATATTTAACTAAAATTTATTACTAAAATTATAAAAATGATGCAGTAAATACCACCACATTCTTTCTAATAATACTAGAAATACTGTACACTTTAAACATTACACAACTATGCCAACCAATTCAAACTAATTTAAATTGGACTGTTGCTACTTGCCTTGCTACTACCACATTAATAATTAATCATATTTATTTGCAAAAATTGGTAAACAACTAATTATGCCAAATTTAGCAATTTTCTTCCCTTTTTTTCCTTCCATTAATTTTTTTTTTTTTATACATTTACCTACCCATGATAATAAAGATCCCTAAAATAAATAAAAATTACACGGCGCAAGTACCTTATCGCTTTGCTGGAGAAAGATAGACGACACTCTGAACCACCGTTTTACCAATTTTAAACCCAGGAACCACCGTGAACGCCGCCGTCACATCGCCGGAGATGACGTCATCTTCTCCGGCGACACTTTCCATGTAAACCTCTGAAAAACGACAATTTTTCCTCACCTGAAAAGCTACCGCCGGCGGATCGAAGCTGAACGCCAAGCAATGAAGCAGCCACACTCTTCGCGCCATCTCAGCGAAGAGAGAGAAGAATTCTGTTGCCGGAAATGCTCCTGAACTTACAACTTTTCTTTGATCTAAATTTCCGAAAAATGAACACTCCATTTTTGGATGCATCAACTTTAGATACTTCCCTCTACAAAATTTCGCAAAAGGGTATCTTGGGTTTTGTGTAAAAATCTGAGATGGTGTTAAAGATTGAAGTTTTCTGAAATTTTCGAAGAAAATCTGGGGTTTTAAGGGTTGTTTGGTCCCCTCATCTGGGAGGTAAAAAGTATGATGATTAAACCCGTCAAACATTACCTGGGAAACGTACGATTCGAATGCAAATATTGTATGCTTTGATTTGGCGAACTTGGCGTTTGGTTCGATTGCTTTCGCTGCCAAATCGATGTCCCAGTTCTTTACTTCCATTTCGCGCACCAACTGTTTGACGAAATGCCTCAATGACCTTAGAACAAAATGAAGAACTCGAATGAAGTGACACTGATTTAATTCGTTAAGTGGGGTGTTATTCGGAAGAGGGAATAAAACCCCACTTGAATTCAAGCGCTTTTCCAGTGATTTGTTTGTCCTTGTTGTATCTTCTAGTTTCTTCCTTAACGAGGCAATTTCGGAGTCTTTTTGTTCCATTTTCCACTCCAATTGCTTCATTGTGATCTCGTATGTTTTGATGTTGCTTTGTTGTTCTTGAATCTCTGCCAATAAGTTGGTAACATGGGGTGGTGGAAGATCTAATTTCTTGTTCAAATACCTCTGTTTTAGCTCAGATAATACAGTTAACTCGCTTACTAAAGCCTCATCAGCTGATTGTATAGCATCATTGTTGTAAGGAAACTGTGCACTTTGTAGCTCAGCATAAGCAGCTTTAAGCGACGACAAACTAGCAAAGAGCTTCGCAACCAGAGCTTCTTTAGCGGCTTTATTTCTAGCTGCTTGCTCTTGTTGTGCAAGATTACCAGAGTTCGATCTCTGGGATTTGGCTCGGGTCAATTTCGGTTCGGATTTAAAGTCTTTTAGACTAATGTTAAGCTCCTCAGAAAGGGTTCTAAGTTTTGGGTTTGGAGGAAATCTTGATGGGGTTTGAGGGTGTATACATTTCGAAAATGTTTTCGAAATTTTGCTTCTTGTTGATTCATTAGATGAAGGTTGTTTGATGCAATCCATATATAATTTGGGTTGCTATTTTTATCTTTGGATAGAGAAAATTGTGTAAAACATTAGGAATTTTACAAAGTTTTCGTTACAAAAAATGGGAAAAAAAAAATACAATGATTTAGTGAAGAGTAAAGAGAAGCAAAATCAATCAAAGTGAGTGATTTTTGACCTTTATTTTGGGTGTGTTTTTCAGATTATACCGGAAATGAAGGTGCCAAAATAAAAGTTGTGTTTAAAGGGCGGGAAACAAAAAGAAAGGTGGGGAATGGTTATGTATAAGAGAATATATGTGAAATTATGAGTCGTCTTTTATGACTTTTGGAATTTATTTTTAAATTTTTTTAAAAATTTTAAATTATTTTTTATTTTTTATTTTTATTTTTTTTGGGTATTTTAATTTGTTAGTAGAATACAAAGTAGTAGAAGAAGGATTTGATTATGGATGGAGGGCCCAATTGGTCTGGTACACTAGGTTGGATGATGGATCATGGTTCATGCAAGTTAATCCAAAAGAAAAAAAAAGGGAAACACAAACCAAGTTGTTGATTATCTAATGACTTTCCTTCTAAGCTTTTCTTTACCTAATTACCATGCTAATGTTTCATGGGCTATTGTCTTTTTATAGCTTTAACTATACTACAAGTTTGATTGTAAACCTACTCTATGGTATAATTAAGTAACAGTTGTGTTTGGTAGTTAATAGATAAAGATAGATTTAGTGTCTTGAGATACGTTTAGTTGATTGATATGTCGATAATTAAGTATATTCGCTCATTCCGCTGTACATTATTTTGATTAAGTTCATTTTTCCTGTTTCAAAATAGTTAATTAGTATACTTCTTACAATAACTCGCCAGCTTTTACTATTATATAATTCATACATGCATCTTATTTTATATTTAGAATACTATCTCACTTCGGACCTGATCAGTCGCTTTTTACTAGTTGGTTGGTCTATTAGTGTGGCTTTTCTTGTTTCCTTTTGTTGCTAAACTTGGGAGGTGTTCATCACTAGAAAATCAAATATACGGTGGCGTATTTTATTTTCAAGGCAGTGATCGACCATAATTCAACTCTTGAATTTTGCGATAATTTCTTAAGATATTTTGTTTGTTCACATGCTAAGATAATTAAAGAAAAAGCATTGATGTGATGAGTAGACGAATTAAATTACAACAATAATATCCATACATGTTACATAAATACATTTATGAATAATAAAAACTTATAAGCCTATGAATATCAGAGTATGAGGAAATCTAAAACATATAACATCAGAAATAATGATATCTAAGAGTAGCATACCAATATATAAAATATAAGTTCAATAATTTGCAACTGCAGCAGCCGTTTGTTGAGTTGCTGGGGTGCAATGAGAATAAGAAATAGCAGAGTAAACATGTGAAAAAGTGAGAGTGAGTCCAAAGATAAGTACATAACATCAATCTGAAGCTGCCACTTATTATTTAGCTTCTTATATGACTCTCATACCGTAATTCATCTTGCTCCTACACAATTCATTTCATGCCTTCTTTGCTAATAAATTAATTTAATTCAAGATATAGACAAATTTAATGTTACGAATTATTGTTGTTAAGATAGAACAAAGGTCCCTGTATGTTAGTGAAGGGTTACATTGTGGACTTGTGGTATATTATAAATGAATGTAAGGGTAACGTTACATAGTTGGCTTATGATGAGTATAATATAATATAACAGTGAAGTAGTATATGATAAATTTATAGTGGGTGGGGTTTGCGGTTTAATTTGCCTATATATTATTACAGGTTTAACTATTTTACAATAATTATTATTAGTAACATACTTCGTATTATGCTAGTACATTACATATTAACACATAGGGGTTTAATTCTTAGTTCAATACGTCTTAACCAGTAAAAAAAAAAAAAAAAAAAAAAAAAGAAAAGTTTGTTACATGCAATATACAGAGTATTCTGTATTCGTTAAGATAGGAAGACCCTATATGATAGTGAATGTAACATAATGACATGATGGGACTTAGTAGTTACATGATCTTTGAGTAATATATTACTTAAGATTATTAAAGTACATTAATTAAAGGGCTATACATATTTCTTAATCAAATTATATAATCAATTTGTCTAGACAAAAGAACAGTATAAAAAAGCAATATATATGTTTGTCATGAACAAAAACATGAAGGCCGGCTACTAATGCAAGATCAAGTGCTTTAGTAAGACTAAAGAGGATTAGAGGAGTAAGTAATACTAAAGTGTAACCTTCACTATTTATTTCACCAAATCCCTTTACTCTTAAGTCCTAATCAATCCTAAATCTCTGCCTATATATAGCTTGAATTTTTTTAAATTAAATTCAATTTGACTGGGATTTGTTTACTAACTAATTTAATAATTAATTAATCCTGCTAACATTACTTACACATCGAGTGCTATCTTTTGCTGATATGCAATGACTATTCTTGTCTAACACTCAATTATACAACTAGTTGAATAATTGCTTTTGCTCCCAATTAATGATATGTATCAAACCATATAAACATTTACTTAACTTCAAACTCTATATTCCCCACGGTCACGTAAGCAATTTGAAAAGCGTTAAAAAAAAAAGTTGTCAAATTTTCTAATATGTAGAGATCATATAGAATAAAGTATTAGTTGCGTCATTGCCCCAAGGGCAAAGCAAATCAAATTGTTTGATTTCAATGTATAACCCCTCATCAATATAATGATGTAGTAGAGATTGGGAAGAGTGCGGAGAAAAATATATATAACAAAGAATAATTATTGTGACAAAAGTTAAGCAAATGTGATTATTATTTACGCGAATGGAGAAAATATTTTTGTAAGAATATAAAGTCCATAAAAGTATTTATGTTTATTTGAATTTAGATGAATCTATTATTCTAAATTCTTTGACGGGTTAAAAGGATTATTTTAATTACTGAACACAAATTGAGAACTTGTAGAGATTGTCCAAATATTAAAAACTTTTAGAAGTTTTATTTATTTATTTATTTTGTTGAAGACAAAAAAATCTTTTAGAAGCTTATTGTTTCAATGTATGATTTAAGATAAAAAGAAAATAATTAACCTTAGTCCTCGATGCTCTCAATTCCTTTAAAATACAAATAAAAAATCTTAAATAAAAAAAAAAAACAAACAAATACTTCCGTCGTTCTTTTTAGTTAACACGTTTCTTTAGTTACATACTCACATTTGCCAATACACAACTTCAATCATTAATGTATTTAATTACTGATAAATAAAAATTATAAAAAGTTGATATTTTAAAAAATATATATTGGTGATATTTTGAAAATATATATTGTGACGAATCTAACAAGATCCCACACGACTATAATTTTCATTACACATAAAGAACCAAACACGATCAAAGAAGAGTGAGTGAATAGTACTAAGGTTAAAACGTGTCAACTAAAAAAAACGGAGGTGGTAAAAAATAGTCAACACATAGCCATAATGTAAGAAATTTTGTTAGCAAAATAACTTATCCCGGCCTGCTATCAAAACTTAGCCATTAATAATAAGTGCAATTCTATTATTGTAGAAGTGTAATTAATTACTCAACTCTTGTCTAACACTCAACCAAATATACTTAATTACCATGTATAATTGTTTGCTCTCAATTGGCCAACTTGTCTGCTCATCATGAGATACTAAGATCACCATGCACTCTACTTATAGCTATCTTTCTCAATAATTGTATGCCACAGACTTCATGAGAACGATGAACCTCCTTCGGCTCATCTTTCCAAGAATCCCTCACTTTGCTATAATTACAATGTGTTTATTACGTGCAACACTATTTTGTTTCTTAGTAGCGCGGAAACATTGGTGGGGAGGAAAATTAAGGTGTTGCTCATTGGGGCATGTAGCCTTCATTCATATATACCTAATGGCCTATTAAGAGTCTCTATGTAGAAGTGGTAATAGTTGACCGATCCGAAATGAATTAGATATGTAATAAGTAAATAAGAGATAGAATCACCACCTCAAAGTGCCTCGATCTAGTGAGAATGATATAAATATTAGTGAAAATTTATCACATAAACTTAAAGTCGTGGAACTAAGCTTTAATCATTGCAGAGTATAAAAAGGAGAGCTAAGTATGTGTGGTTGATGAAATAATAAGTGGTGCTTCTTTAGGTGAATACTAATATAATGGGAAAATAGACTATTCATGAAAAATAGATCAAGTACAATCTTAAATAGTTCGTATTTGTTTAGGTGGAAGTAGAAAGACGAATTGAAAGAAGTAAAACTTTAATAATAATAATAATAATAATAATAATAATAATAATAATAATAATACCTTTTCGTTAAACTTGAGAATTTAAAAACCTAACCCCACCCCACCCCACCCCATGTAACCTCAAAATTGATCAATAAAATATAAGACATTAAAATTAAATTCTTTTAGTGTAGACAAAACAGGCCTACGATGATAATTTCTTATATATTTCTCATAAATTATAAACAACTATGAAAAATTAATTTTCACATAAATCGGGCACACAATCAAAAATTAATGAACAAAATAACAAGACGGCGAGGAGGACTACCTACCTAAATATAATTGAATAAAATAAAAGTTTGTCAACCCTTAGAGATTGAATAATTACTATGTTGGGAAAGATCAACAACCAAGCCAACCAAGGTCAAGTCAATTCCATCATCAGACAAAAGGAATTTCTAATTAGGTAGGTCAAGAAGAAATTCAAAAATAATGCATATAATAAAAACAGTACATAATCTTGTATTATTCTTATCTACTTTAAAAACAATGATTTTGTTTCTCAAATTAGACGCAATAAAATGCATGCTAATGCTACAAAAAAGCTATGATTTTCAGGGCATTGACCTGTAATACATATATATATATAGATTATTTGTATTATTGTTATTAATTATTATACACTTAAATTGCACGCCAATAGGGCATTGACCTGTAATACATAGAATTGCATGCACGCATCATTTCTTCTCCAATAAATTGTTCTATTAATTAGTACGCGTAACAATGATTACACTCCCAATCAAAGGTTTTTTACGTATAAAATTAGCTTAAATTAAGATTATTATCCTTTTTGTTGTTGCATGCAAAGTAGTGATTGATCATGAATGAAGAATTAACTTTTTATGATGAGTTGAATCACTAGATAGTGTTTTGGACGTTATGGCCAAGGTGACCTATAAGAATTGATCTACTAAACATAACCTTTTTAGGGTACAATATTCTTTAGTATGTCTAGAAAATTTTTTAGATTGTTGCGTCTAACATTGATTTTGTGAGTGACTAACAACTCTGTGATCATTTTTTGTGACATAGCAAGGACTAATGAAATTTACTATATATTATATTTATGAAAATTTGCATTAGATATCTTATGGCATCAAAGTAAAATGTAAAATTCAATGCTTCATAATGAAGTCAATCATTCTCGTATGACATCGAAGTGAAACAATGTATGAAAATAACAACAAAGTGGAATCATTGAAACAATAGGCACTAAATTGGAAATTTACCAAAAATTTACTTTCATTTCAAATTATCGTCCTCTCTCTTAGGATTGAGCACACGAATTGAAGCGTAAAAAGTATGGGTGTGTGGATTTGGGTGGACAATATTGTAAATGATAGAACAAATACTTTTAAA